TCTTCAGAGACAGAGCAACCACTGTGTGTATATGCCTTTAATCAGAATGAAAATAACTACAGTGCCCACATTTCTGTCTCCTGAGGCAGTTTGGTGCCTCACTGGGACTGGTTTGTTGAGGTCCCTCATCACCAGTGGCCTGAAGTTTGAGGACTGGGGGTAACACCTGCCCCTTTGCTCTTTGGAACTGCTGAAAGAAGATGGCCAGAGACAGGCCCTTCTGTATAATATTCCCTTCTGAAAGAAAAATTCAGACGTAGAGTGTCTCTTGTGCTGATCAGCAGTGGGACACTTTTCACTGAGGACACAGAATGTGGGAGGGCATTTTGTATTGTGGTAGAACTGGAAATGGGTTTTACACTGGTGATTTTTCATTTAGGTGGTTTATCCTGCTTATTGTGTGAACTTGGTCATCCAGTCTAAAGATAATACCAAGTACTGTCTGGTTTGTCTTCAGGTTCAGAGGTTTGTTTGGGGTTTTTTTTGTGAGAGAATGACTCTACTGTAATTGTCTAAATTGTTTATAAGCCTTTTCAGGAATATCGGTACTTAATGTATTTTTGTTAAATTACTGTGTTGGAAGGAAGAGCAAACTGGAATATGAGTTATCCCGAGAACCTGCATTTTAATTCCTCCTGGCGGTGTCAACTGTCTGACTTCTGTATACTAATACATTTTGCGATAAATGCATATTATGGGTGAGATAAAAATGCTTTTTGCTGTGTGTTTATTAGGGTTTTTGTATTCTTAAAATAAATGTCATGTTTGATGGTGATACAATGGATGGAGTGTTGCTGGCAGGGGTGTTCGGGTTATCTTGACACACTCACAGTCGAAAACATACTACGCTTGAGTGCGTTGGCTTAAGGATGTGTTTGTGAAAGAGGAATGTGTACATTGTGGTTCCTTTCATTCCGCCTAAAAGCATGTGCAAATAGTGATTGTTCTGTCTCTGAAGAAAATGTCTCTATTAATACACATTTTTAGCGTTATTTTACACTGTAATGTAACAGTGTGCATATGGAATCTTGAACTGATACTGGTTTATAAGGGCATTGAGTTGGGGGGGGGTTGTTGCTTTTTTAAGAAGAGCAAAATGTCCATGATTTTCACTTCTGACCCGCGGGGAGCAGATATCTCTGGGACTTGGAGAAATGGGAGAAATTGGATAAACATGCTCTGAATATTTCTATTTGTTTGGGGGGTTTTCTCATGTCAGTAAAAGAGCAGATAGCTCAAATAAATCAACCTACTTTGGATCCCTAATTTATCTTAGTTTTAACATTCTAAGATTTATGATTGTTTGTTGAAATAGTTGCATTCCTGCTATTTTTATCTCCTCACTAGAGACGTTGGGCACTTCGGAGAACTGGGTGGCAGAAATTGTTTCACAGATGCCAAATAATTCAGGTTGTTTTCTGATATTTTTCCATGTCTGTAACTGGTGAGACCATGTTCTAAACATACACAGTNCTTAGTTTTAACATTCTAAGATTTATGATTGTTTGTTGAAATAGTTGCATTCCTGCTATTTTTATCTCCTCACTAGAGACGCTGGGCACTTCGGAGAACTGGGTGACAGAAATTGTTTCACAGATGCCAAATAATTCAGGTTGTTTTCTGATATTTTTCCATGTCTGTAACTGGTGAGACCATGTTCTAAACATACACAGTTTTATGCAATTCTTTCCCATTGTAGCTACAGAGGCTTTAATTCTTAGTGACTCCCTTATCAAAGAAACTACTTTCACTGACTGAGTAATCTTTGAAAGTTAATACATCCATAAAATGTGTCTTTAAAATGTGTTCAGTAGCATTTGATGTTCTCATGGTGTGGACCTTGACTTTGCACATAGATCCTTGTTATGCCTGTGTTACTTCTTTAGCTGCTGGGAAGAGAATCCTATTCTAGTTTTGAAGAACGTTAATTCCTGTGCCTCTGCATTGTGTGAAAGATAATTAGTATCAAAATACAGCTGAGTCAGCAGCCTGTTGTGTCTGCTGGAGACAAACTGACTGTGGGTCTCTGTGTTAACACTGAGCTGTGCTTTGTAAAACACTGTTTAGAAAAAACAGCCTGATTTGTATCTTAAAATTGTGATGTGGATAAGTTTTATCTACTTGGCTAAAAGTACAGGTCTGTAAAGGCCCACTGGCTGTTCTGGTGCCAAGTGAAATGACCTTGTTGCTCTCTGAGGTGAGGATTTCCCTGCAGTGCTGGGCTGCTGGGGCTGGTTAGTGACTGAAAGATGTTCATTGCTCACAAGACAAAACTCCCTGGTGGTGGCTGAGCAAACAAAAGGGGGGTGTATTGACATGTGTATTATAAGAAAAAATCCCGAGCCTCACATAGACTCGGATGTGTAAAGGAGTGCCTGAAAAGGAGGAAGATTAATGGGAGTTAATAGAAAACAGGCCTGGAAGGGTCTGTCACAGTTGCCAGGTTCATCCCCCTGCCCCCAGACAAGAGCAGCTCTCTCATGTGAATCTTTCAGTGTATTTTAATGAAGCTTTTTGGGTTTGATTGATTTTGATTCTCTGCTTTTTCTGTAGGTGGTTTTTGTGCCAAATGCAAGTTTATAATGTAACTGACTTTCTCATTTGTAAAGTCAGCCCCATGTGAATCTGTTGGGTTTGGCAGGGCTGGAAGTTGGGGTGCAGTGCAGTGTATGAGAACTGGCCTGGAAGGGTAACTAGTCCAGTACAGATGAATCCCCCTCTTTATAGTTTATTTCTACAAATAATTTAAGAAAATATATATTATTTAAATAGTTGTGTTTTTTCATTATAGAACTGTGGCTTCAACTCACACAATAGTATTTGCAGAAGTGCTTTAATTCTCACTTCAGAATTTTACAGACGTAGTTACAAGGGCTGTAATGGGGAAGCTTGTCCCCAATGGTTGCTTCTGAGAAAGAATCTGCACATTTTGACTGGAATTAGCCTTTGTGAATTGTCCTCTAAGTAGTTCCCCAAAATGTTGGTATTATATGAGAGAGAGGTATTTTATGTCACTGCAGGTTTCAGGCTCTTTGTTTAGTCATTGGCCAAGTGCTGCATTCTGGTCATGTATTTCTGTGAAAGCTGATTTTGTTTAAACAAGACTGCCAAGCTCTGCTCGAAGGTTCCCCAGGTGGCAGGGAGCAAACACAGGTATTTATTTAACCTTCAGCCCATGACCTTCCTTCAGGGGTGGGTTATGTCCACAAAAGGGCTGTATGTTTGTGGACATACCCAAAGGAGCATTGAACATTTTACCTCCTTGGTTGGAAAGCCCTGGTCCTGGGCCATGGCACTTCAAAGGGCATCCTTGTTGTGGGGAGCTGCTCAAGATGATACTTCAGACAAGGGCTGCAAAGAAACCTCTTTGCTCCCATATGGCCTTGCTTTAGCTGCAGTAAACACTGTACTAATTTTACCAAATTGATGTTTTGATCATCTCACAGGGCCTTTTGGCACACCAGAGTTTCACAAACTTTGCAGAGTTGAGAGACCAGGGGCAGTGCATATAGAACAGAAACTTTTAGATTTTACCTCATGTTCTCTGCTACACTTTGACATGAAGCTGAATTGAATTTTATCTATTTCTACCGTTTCTACCTGCATTTCTGCATATGTTTTAGTTGGTTTTGCAGTTCATTTTTGCTCCTACTTGTCGTTGCTTCTAAACAACTTGTTCTTCCAATGTATTTGATTCCAATTTTTGGTTCTTTGCTTTTCCCTTATTCTAGAAAGAAGGAAACTGATGTAGTAGGTCAGGAAATCCAAACACGAGGCTTCATTAGCAAGAAGATTAACAACTCTGGCATGTTTGCCTTGTCACAGAAAGCTTCCAGGCCTTGCTTGTTCCCTGCACACATCAGACTCTCCAGCTCTTTACAGCTATTTGAAAATCTTTGTCAAGAAAATTACAGTGCTCTCCTTCTACATAGATAATTGTACCTCTGAGCAGCCTTTGATCTGGTGGATGCAGAAGTCCCATCCATTTCCTGTGCAATCCTTCTTTGGAGGACCTTGGTACAATTTCCAGGGACCCCTAACTAGAAGCAGGCAAACCCCCAACTTTCCAGAGAGCCCTTGCAGATAGACTTTGTGTGCAGGTGATGTGCTGAATTCCTTCAGGGTTGCCATGGCAACCCTTCTCTCCTTTATCCAGAAGAAGATTGCTGTATCAGTAAATGTACTTTTTCACAGGACCCTGGGGCTTTTGATCAGGGCTCTCAGAGCTCTTGGGAGCAATAGATGGGCAGGCCCTGGATTAGCAGTGTCATCGATCCTCGTGGTCACTAATGCTCTTTGTTCTTCAGCTCTGAAGATACCAGCATTTTTTCTCTCCACCTTCTCTACGGTTTTTGGCAAAAGATTGTCCCTTCTATACTACATGGAGACATATGATCTCAGATTCTGAGTTTTGAGCACTAATATTTCACAGTCAGGAGACATAATTCTCAGTCCTGATGTTCTCCTGTCCTTCTTCCCTGATCTCAAAGATTTCTTGGTCAACTTGTTCAAAATTCTGTTTTGCTGAGCACAGCTGCTCTCCTGACCCCAGGAGCCATCAGATTAGTTCTGTTCCATGTTCATCTCACTGGCAGTTTTTCAATGATAAAAAAGAGAAAACAGGAGGATGGAAACCCAAGCGAAGATGAAAATGATGATACTGCCTGTAATACACTAATCCCCTTCCAGAAGCCAGGAGTTATTTCTTATAATAAAGTGATTTGTCTGTCTCAGAAAATGATTCTTGATTTCCAGTCAGTCAGGATTCCTGTGAGTCTGTCCTGTTAAACCACAGGATGGTGCATGAGCAGCACCTTACTGACAGTGTTTAACAGAGCAGCCTCGGGAATTAATGTGTGTATTTTTACACATTTCCACGTATGCAAATGCACATGCACATGTTTTTTGTACATCAAATAAAATATCTTGCTCACAGATGGATCTTGGGATTAGAAGGATTGGAAATAATGACACGTTTCTATTTTCAATGAATAAACCTATTTTGCAGTTATCCCAGTCAGCAAAATCCACCTGTTGAACATTATTTGGACACTGACCCCACAAGAGAAAACCTACAGATGAAATTATGTTTAGACTAACATTAAATTATGTAATTATCATTCATTTACATTATATTTTTATTTTGTACTGTTTATAGAACAGTTAGTGTAGAGAATCCAATAAATTACTAAGAACTCATCTCGTGGTAATATCACAGAAAGGGATAATTTCAGGAAATGCATTTTATGCCTCTGATTCCTTGAGAATATCGTACAAAATTGTATCAGTGTTAGGTATAAAATCTCAGTGTTGATGTAATAATGTTCCATTAACACAGATCACTTTTAATAGCCTTCATTGTGCAGGTCAAGAACTGATACCTGTGTGTTGCAGGATCCTGTGGAGATACAGGGCTGGTTTGGATACCCAGTCCTATTCCAGCCTAAATATCTGCTCCTATTCCAGCACCAGCCTGTGTGGTCTTTGCCCCATGTCTTTGGGCCACGTTACAGATCTCTGGTGGTACCTACAGAAGCTCCTGTGCTGGGGTTAGGAAGGATCTGCACTGTTTTCCCCTCTGTGGTGGCACAAACCTCTGATTTAGGAAGAACAAAAGAGCTTAAAATGCTTTGCCCAATCACTTGGCATCCTGCACTGGAATAAGAAAGGTCAGGCAATAACTTTTGTTCAAAAAGAAGACTTCAGTAGAATGGATTTAGTTTATTTAATAGCTAAGAAAAGGTCATGTCTTTTGTTCTTTTATTCTCACATAAATTGATTTTGTAAAGTTGAAGTTGGTTTATCACCGTTTGTGTTCTGTGGCTTTGTTATTTCAGCACTGGAGAAAAGGTCATCTTCTTGCTGGGTATCTGATATTCCATGGTCCATTAAAACTGCATTATTTCTGCTGTAACTGAAGTTCTTTTTCTTTTCTTGCATTTTTTTCCTCTCTTATTTTTTCCCTCTGACTTCACCTGTCCCAAGACAACTCAGCTCAACTGGGTAGTTTGTCCTGCAGTGTAGTATAGATTTTTCTCATGTTTTGTTCACTATTCAAGAGCTTGAAGAGATTCCCTCTCTGGTAACTTAGGGGAGTGAATTGCATTCTGTCTCAAAATGAAGTGTCAGTAGAAGACAGTGACTGAGTTTTTTTGCATGGAATAAGAAAGAAAAATGAAAATATTTAAAAATATAGAGGTCTGATGTGAAATTTATATTGTGATTCTTCTACTAAGGAAATAGTAATTTCTTTACAGCCAGCTCCTCACTGGCCTGTTTGCCTGACTTCAGTTTTGCTCCAGCTGTCTCTGAGATGATTAAAGAGGAACTGAAAAAGGTTTACCTCAATGTGCTCATCATCTCAGAGGTGTTAAGCCAAGTGAGTGTCAGTGGGGAAGGGCTTAATTTTA